AAATAAATATATATGAAATGCTTCTAATTCTACATTTACTGCCAGTTCTCAAATCAAGGGCGTAGAACGGACATATCTTCCGACTCCTGCAAAAGTTCCAGTTCCAGAGTGGTTCAGTCAGGGTCCAAGCTTACAAGTTGTCTATACAAACTACCCAAATGGTTAGCATTCTTATACTTTTCAATTTATTATTTTATGTAAATATTACAAACAACACTGGGTTTATGAAATAAATTTCAAATAAATTAATCTTTAAATTTGTTATTATAGCGAAAGATTTGTTTGAAGTTCTATTCTTGAAGGGGAGTTACCAACACAAAGAGTTCTATTCAGTGATTGAATATTGATTTTAATAAGCTTTGTTATTATTAATATTATTATTTAACTTACTAGGGCTGTTCAATAAAAAGTGATAACGCAATTATCTTTTATTAAATGTTATTTTATTTTTCGACCTAGTCACAGGTTTATATACTGTGTTTCTGAAGTTAAATTCTCTTTTTAAATAATGTTCTTCCTGAACCCATCATCTTTGAATTTATGACCCCTAAACAAATAAAAATAAATCAGTGACGCTACAACCATTTTAGGTCTGGGCCTCAGATTTCTGTATCCGTTCCATGATTTTTCCTCAATCTGGAAAGCTCGCTTTTCGCTCGTACGGTGATGGAAAACATCGTGAAGAAACCGGCATGCCTCAGACCCAAATAGTGGACGGCGTTTGTCAGACACAGAAGGCTGATCACCTACTTATCTATTTAAAAACATAACAGAAATCTGAGGCGGAACTAAAAGTGTCATTGGTTTTGTTCTAGAAGCATCGTTAATTGACATAAGAAACAAATATTTTTTTAAGGCTTTCGACTGGAGAGAAAACTTAATTATGTATTTCTGAATTAATATTATTCCAAAATTTTAGTATTCAACCGTTCATTAACTATGATCATTAATGTGGAGCTTGTTATTAATCAACGTATTCATTTATTATTTCATTCAATTGAGCTTTTATTGGTAATTGTTATACATAACATATATTATAAAGGAGTATATAAATAGCGCAAAATTGTACTACATGACTTAGATTATATAGAAACAGTGAAGCTAGGTAGTTAGCTACAAGAATCTGATGGCAAAAAAAAAGTTTAAAAATTAGCGATTTTCATGTGAAATTTCGAGGAATTGTTTTTGGTTTGGCTTCAAAATTCCTTTAAAAAGTGGTGAAAATGTCGAAGAAACCTCTTCGATCGCAAGCAAGAAATATTGTTTTCAATGTTTATCAAAGAATTGCAGAACATACACAATCATCGATATTGAGCCATGTGCAAGTGTTGACTGGTTAGTAGGAATGACACGTCTTTATACTTTGGTTTATTGGATTTTCGCGTGTATTATATTATGTACTTATAACTTTGGTTTATTCCAGGGGTTTCTAATACTACCATAAGACGAATTGTTGCCGAAGGCAGATCTAACAGAGGCGTATTTAGTACGCCCGGTAAAAAGAGGAAAGGTGGTTTTGATTTAGAATTGAAAAAAAACCTATATATCAGATAGATGAGATTTTTAAATCACACGGCCGCGAAGTCTTGAGGCTCCCACTATATCATTGAACGTTAAACCCCATAGAATTAAGCTCGGGAATAATGAAACAAAAACTTGCGGGTAAAAACGTCAATATACCTGCAAGTGATATAAAATTTTTAACAGAGAAGAGATTTAAGAAGCTTACTCTTAAGTAGGGATTAATGAATGGCGAAAATCTTGTGAACATGTAATAAAAATTGAAATTCAGTTCATAGAACTAGATCAGTTAATTGAGATGAAGGAGGATAGGTTTATATTAAATACTGCGTCTTCCTCTTCATATGAAGTTTTTTTATGGATGTGCAGTATTTGGAACCATTTTCAAGTTCTAATAGCCTATAATTAATTAATAAACTCATGAACAGAGTAATTGGAGTTTTCATCTAAATTTCAAACCCCACATTCGCCACAGTAAAATTTTCAAAAATTATCCTTGATCATTAGATAAATTATTATATTTGCATGTATCACACACAATCAGCCGCTTTAAGGAAAAAAAAAGTATCAAAACGTTTTACTCCAATTTCCCCAGTATTGCTAGCGCCAATTTCTTTTTTTCCCTTTTTGCCATCAGATCCTGGTAGACCTATTGTTAGCTACAAGAAAGATAGGTGTTCAACAGGGGTCTTAGTCAAGATGCTTTAAGTAAACTTGTATGAAAATTTGTCGATACGAACTATCATTTTTATACAAATTTAGTTTTCGACTTTCTACATACCGTCACTGTATGATAACCTCGTATGTAAAAACCATTTATTTTTTATTCTTAGACTCATGTCATTAACTGGTATTATCATAAAGTAAGGACTTATTTTTTTTATTAATAAATAAGTCCTCTTTACCATCCAAAACTATGGACAAAAACACATAATAATATTTTAACGAACATTGACGAAATGAAATATTTTTTTCGTTTCCTGTAATGTTTGTTTCTCTGGACATACGAGGCTATCATTCTACAGCCATTCAAGTGCGTGAACACTCCCTTTAGGTGGAAAGAAGAGCAGCACCTTCCTTCCTCCACAGACCGATTTCAATTTTCACATTGAATACTCCCTTTATCCCTGAGTAAAAGCTATATTTCTATAAATATATATTAAATGTGACTAAACACTTAGAAACTCTCCCCTTGAATCACCCTTGCTGATAATGAAAACTATATTCAAATTTTTACGTGGGATTAAAGACATAAGCAGAAAGGAAATACTTTTTTTACTACGAAAGCTACGAAATAACAAAAAGCAGTGTAATAAAATAGCTGGTATTAAATCCAGGCTCACGGATCGGGCGTCACATGTACACGACAGATTTTTTCAGTTATTGTCCTTTACCATGTTTCACAAAAGGGGAAACAATTTTTCACGAAAGCCATTAGCACGTCGCTCTGAGATGACTCTTGGAAACGTTCGCGACCCCACATTCTGGCCAAGGCTGGGGTTTTTGACATTGAATGTGTACAATGTAATTATAGTGCCTATTGAAAAGTAAGAAATTATTTTATGAAATAAATGTTTATTTATAATATTTTAATGTTTGATATGACATAAAAACTAGTGTAAATAGAATCGTATTGAATATTAAAATCATATAAACGTAATTAGTATTTATGAGAATTTTAACTGCACCTCGAGCCATGTATTATGTTAAAAATGCAATTACACGTTCACGGCAATTATTAATACAATAGTATTCACTTTACTACAGGTAAATTATTCAGTTATATATTTAAATTGATTTAAAACTCACTGTATTGGCACATTTTCAAACGTTATCTGTTCCTTTAAATCTCTTCTGTACAAACTTTACCTGTCCACATCGTATAACTTTCGTACTAACTACTAACCGACGTGAGACTGATCTTAAATTATCGTGATTCGTGTGCACTTTTTACTTTTTATTTTTCATGTATCCTTTATTAGTTTAGTTTGTGTTTTGTTGCTGTTTAGATTTTTTTCTTAATAATAAATGTAATATCTAATTTAATACATTTTTTTTCTTTTCTCACAGTGGTTGCCTGGAAGAGATCGCTCGAAAGCGATAAGGCCGCCAGTTGCCCTCCTTTTCATTTAATTATGTTCTATTTTTATATTGTAATGCAACGAAGTGTTAATAAATAAAAATAAAGAAATCTTATAATTTATATGTAAAGTTGTTTTTGAGTTAACTGTTCACATTATGTTAACTGCGGACAGGAATAAAACTCGTGTAAACATAACAATGTATCAACGAGCGTAAATTGTTAAAACTACACATTTGTATTTTCACTTAGACGCGCGGCTTTTACAGTACAAAATGGGACAAGCAAAAAATTTACAACCGCTGAAACAAAGCACTGTAAATCTACAGAGCGAGGCAAGAGCAGGGAACTTGAACTACAAATTGAACATTGTCGCCTAATGTGACTTCGAAAGCTTCCGTCATACATAACGTTAGAATTTGTATTAAGTCAAATGTTACGCCTGTTTTTCATTTATTGTATCTTATGTAAAGAAAAAAAAAGGTGGATAGAAGAAATAAAAGCGGTAGCAGGAAATGAATGGAGAAAGAGAGCCATAGACAGAGTTAGTTGGAAAAAGCTGGAGGAGGCCTTTACCCGTGAAGGGGTTCTGATCGACGGTACTGAAGGAAGCTAGAATATAAAATAACAAGTAAAAGAAAAAAATATGTTTAAAAATGTAAAATAATCGAAGCAGTGTATTATAATTTGTTTTTGTCATGATTGGAAATTAAACGGGCTTTATTATTATTATTATATGTAAAGACTAGGTATAATATCAGCAGAATTTTACAAATTCCGTCTGCAAAAACCAACCTAGGAGTTCAGGCACCTCTCTTTCGAATTCTTCGCGATTATAAACAGTCCTTATCCGGAGAGTGATATATTCGGTAGTGGGCTGATCAATTTTAAGGAAAGCAGTGTTAAGTGCCTATCTCATGCCTAATCCGCTGTTTTGCTGGTAATTTTTGTTAGTTTTTTTCTGCTTAACAGAAATTGCTTGCATTATTATTTTTCTTTAATTTTTTGTAACATTTTTGTTTAATTTGTCATATATTTAAGATAAAAGAGCTTGTAACATATACCATAGACATAGTTTAATGTATAAAAATAAATTTAAAAAAACATAAGAGACTTCCTCAAAACAGTTTGAATACACTATCTCCTCTTTTTATCACAGTGTTAACACAATTTTAAAAAACGAAAGACTTATTTAAAAGAGTAACTTCTCTAACTCAAACTTGTTACTAAAGTATTTTTATAAATAATGTTTGTGTATAAACTGAATTTTTTTTTATAATTAATAATAATAATAATAATAAAAGCCCTTTATTCACACTTTCACCTTTTTAACTTACATGCTATTCTTATTTAACAGAAGCATTCTTAAATCTAATTTACATAGCGAAATAATAATTTATTAGCAACCACTTTGGTCAGGTTGTCTGTCGACATAGGCCTCCCCCAATCGTTTCCACATCTCTCTATCCTTGGCAGACCTTCTCCATCCTTTTGGCAGATCGTCCTCCCATCTTTTAACTTGACCTCCTCGTTTTCTTTTCCCGTTTCTCGGATACCACTCTATTACATCCTTAGTCCATTTTTCTTTGTTAGTCCTCATTATATGTCCAATCCAGTTCCTTTTAAGCTTTCTTATTTTTTGTAGCACGTCACTGACGTTTGTTTTTTTTCTTATTTTTGAAGCTGTCCATCGATCTGGTAGTCTTATATTAAGCATGCTCCTTTCCATGCTGCGTTGACAAACTACTAGCTTTTGATTGTTTTTGCTCGTCGTAGGCCAAGTTTGACATCCATAAGTAAGACATGGTAATATACAAGTATTATATAATTTGGTTTTTATTGCCATGGGAATTGTTTTATTTTTAACTATTTCTTTTAGATACCAGTACCGTTTCCAAGTGTTGCATATTCTATCTATTTCATTAGAATACTGATCTTTTATTGAAATAAGTTGTCCTAAATAAATATATTCGTCTACATATTCTATATTTTCTTGACCTATTACTATATTTTCTTTTATTGCATTCGTCATTACTTTAGTCTTCGTTGGGTTCATTGATAAACCTGCTTTTCTGCTTTCATCATTTAATTGTTGTAACATAGTTTGTAGTATGCTTGGTTTATCAGCGAAAACTACTATGTCGTCGGCAAATCTTAAATGATTTAGGTTCAATCCATTAATACTGATTCCAAAATGCTCCCAGCCTAAGTTCCTGAATATATTTTCTAACACTGCTGTGAAGAGTTTTGGGGAAAGTGGATCGCCTTGCCTAACGCCCTTTTGAACTCTAAATTTTTCGCCTTGTTGTTCAAGTTGGACTGTTGCTGTGGTGTTTTTGTAAATTTATTTTATGATTTTTATGTATTTTCTTTCTACTTCTTGATTTTCTAGCGTTTTCCAGATATTGGTATGACTCAGCGAATCAAAAGCCTTATTGTAATCGACGAATGCCAATTCATTGAGCTTTTCAATAGGTACTTGCATCACAACAAGAGTATGGTCGATGGTAGAATAATCGGCGCAAAACCCAGCTTGCTCCCTCGGTTGGTTTTCTTCCAGGTGTTTTGATATTATTTTAGAAAACGCTTTGTATAGATTGGACATCAGGCTTATTGGTCTATAATTATTTATTTCATTTTTGTCACTTTTTTTGTGTAGTAGGATGATGGTTGATTTCGTCCATTGAATGGGTTCAGTTTCTATTATTTCATTAAAAAGAAGCGTCACATATTTAGTTATCGCGGGTAGACCTTGTTTAAGTAGTTCTTTAGATATTTTATCATCTCCAGGAGCTTTTCCACTTTTTTGTGATTTTATAGCCTGTGTGACCTCAGATTCTAGTATACAAGGTATTACTTCTGCTTCGTAAGCTTCCTTTTCTTCTTCTTCTGGCGTTGTTCTGTCTGTCTCCGTGTATAAGTTTTTGTAAAAATCTGTCGCTACTTTCGCTATTGATAGTCTATTTGTTGTAATGGTATCTTCTTTTCCCTTGTGTTTAGTTTTCATGTTGGGTATCCATTGTGTATATTCTTTTAACTGTTTTAGACCTCTTTTAATTCCGCCTGTTTTTTCTATTTGTTCTTTCAAAATATCTAGTATTCCTGCTTTTTTATGTTTTCTTATCGATTCTTGAATTTTCTTGCAATGTTTTGTTTATTATCTTTTCGTTTGTATAACATTTCCTTTCTCTCTTTCATCAATTTTAATGTTTCTTCTCCCAACTTATTTTCCACCACATTTTTTGTACTCGATTTGTTTATATTTATAAGTTCTTTTTCCAAAAAAATATACTTCTATAAATAGAGTTCTTTGAAATATTAGTAATTGAGCTTGACCTTTTTATAATTAACGTAAACCGAATATATCAGATCGCGCGCTATCTCTTCATAATCGGCTACTTGGAGCTCGCGTAGGTCCTTCTCTACGGTAACTTTCCAGCCTTTTCTGGGCATGCCGACGGCCGCTCGGTGTTCCGAGACAACATACTATCACTATATACTTAAGCAACGCAATAAAGCTTTACTGACTAACTGACCCAATATTATCTACTTAATCCCCATTTAATATTTCATAAATCGTACTGCACATGATTGTTAGAAATTGCAATTTTATTCATAGATAATATGCATTAAATATTTAAACTGCTCAAACGCTCAATACGATTCAGCAAACACAACCTTTCCACCCTAATAGCGTGGAAAATAGAACATTTTCCGACAATTCCCGAGTTATTCGAATAGGCGAATGTGTCAACACACCGTGATTCCAATCACTCTGCTATTTTTATATAGCGTTGCTCTCGACAAAATGCATTTAATCTGTAGTGCACTCTCCTCAATTGCTAAGCCCTATCGGACGAGCTTTCACATATTAATCAACGCTTTCAGTGGAGCTTTTGCGTGTAATTTATGTTTATTGACATTGATTATTATTTTAACGAGCCAATAATGTCTTTGGTTTACCGAGGACTTCACATTTCCGTTACGGATATAATTGCAAAATTATTGTGCTATTTACATTACTCGGCGTTGCGAGAGCTTTACAGGAATACAAGCGTGTGTGTTGAAAAAGTTTTATTTATATTTAAAGTAACGATTTAACGAAAATAGTTCACTGTTACATTTTTTATAGAGCAGGGCAAACTGGCTGGCAGCTCACCTGATGTTCTGTGTTATGCCCATGGGTGCTCTCAATGCCAGTGGACTCTCCAATGCAATGCCGGCCTTTCAGGAATTGCTAGGATTAAAGGATCCTAAGTTGAATTAGTTTAGATATTCAGAGGATAACTGATTCTAAATATTGCTAGTGCGCGGCAAAACTGCCTTAAATAACGCTCAAACTTCTATTACATGCATCAATATATATCTAAGATTGAGGATTGAAGCGCCACTGGATTTATTATAAAGCACAGGTAAAATAAGTGGTAAACAGTAGCCTCGGACATCGGACGTCGAGGAAAAATACGAAATTCCGTCGTTCCACAACTGAGCATTTTTTATCACTATGTGGAACCAGCTTCCCAATGAAGAATTCGAATTAGGGTCCTTCAAGAAAAGAGCGTACCAATACTCAAAAGGCCGGTATCGCACTCGCGAGCTCTCTGGCATTGAGAGTGTCCATTTGTGGCAGTATCACTTAATATCAGATGAGCCTCCTGCCTGTTTGACTCTTATTTTAAAAAAAAAAGCTTCCAACAATAATTCTTTCTACCCTGCCTCTTAAACAAATAGTATTTTGTATTAGACAAATTTATTACTGATTTATACGACTGTAAATAATATTCTAACAGTATGCGCATTCATTTTGTCTCTAATGCAGTATTACATATTTGCATTTTGGCTTCTCCCGTTGGCGCGTGCTCCGAAATCATAAAAATAATTCCTACATGTCCCTTGCATTTTTTATCTGTAGAGATAAATCGTCTCTAGTAGTTTTTTATGTAAATTGAATACTTCATAACTAACTATAATAATAACATGTATAATATAATTTGGTTTTATGACTAATGAGAAAAAAGTTGAGTGTTTTTAAGCTGGTTAATTTCTCATTTATTTATTACTAAAGTCACGTCCACAGTATGAAATGTATATGAAAAATATTGCATAATAACTGTAACAAAATAGTAACAAAACTTATAATTTTAGATAGGAGCACTCCGTGGGCCTATTTAGAACTAAACGGAAGCATGATTTCGTTCTTATATTATTGTATTTTGTTTTGTTTTTTTTAGTTTGTAGATAGTTTTGTAATTGTATGTATGTTGTATGTATTATTAGCCCTTTATCAACATATTGAATTTTGACCTACTAAAACGTATTGAATTTTGACATACTAAAACATATTGAATTTTGACATACTAAAACGCATTGAATTTTGACATATGGTCACGTTACGGATACGTTATACGTGACCATTTTTTATATAAAATTGGTATCTTAGTCCACTATTAATGATTGAGTTCTTTCACATCAAAACAATACAATTTAGGTAAAAACTAGTGTATTTTATTTTTAATTAAAAAAGCATACTTACAAAATGGGCCACTCGGTATTGTTACCTTGCAATATTCACAATATATTTGAAAATTTTTGACTCTTCAAACTGCTTTTGAATAGAAGTCCAAATAATTTGATCACAAAGAACTCAAGTTTAAATGAGATTTAATGTATTGTTTTATTTAAAAACGTCATTATACGTTATATTTTACATGGTTAAAATTGTCAAAAGCTGAAAAGCTTTTTGTTGAATAAAAGTGAATTAGTAATTCAACAGTACAAAATTATTAAATGTTTTTGTTCATGCAAAACAAATTTCTGGTATTAATAATTTTAATTATAATATAACCAAGCAAAATTTGAACTTTTTGTAACCGGTTTCGCATTAAGAACAATAACAATTATTTTGCAACAACTGCACAAATAAAAAATATCACTAATACCTATGCAAATGTCCGAAAATACCACTGTCGTATAAGTTGGAATTTTTATTTAATTTACTTTATATATACCATCAAATAAATGATCAGAATAAGAAATAAGAAATCGGTGTTTCCTAGTCTCCATTTAGATTTGTGCATTTAACCATCGCTCGTACGGAAATGGAAAACATCGTAAGGAAACCGGCATCCTTTAGACCGAAAAATACCATGTGATAGAGAAAAAAAATAAACGTGTAGCACTAGGGGACTGCCGCGGTAAAGCTATTGCATAATTTTTTTTTTACTTTATGCAATTATGATTATTTATTTATGCAGTATTTTTTTTTCTTTGATATTAATTCAAGTTTTTTCTTTGATAATTTATTCAATCTACCACTCTACCAGACTAAGACTAACTCGCCTATATAGTCTGTCTCTCTCTTACGCCACCGGCTGCACCGATCTCGTCAGAGAGATGTGAATAGTGAATACGCAGTATGCGTTCTGTCCCGCTCTAACGCGTATTGGCCGCACCTACATTACGTCATCGTGTGTTAGGTTTTTTCGTTACGGAATTTCTTGATTCGGTCGCCGCGCTCATAGCCCGCGACAAAATCTATGCTTAACATAATCGCAACCAAAACCTAGAGGTTGTATCGCTATAGTTTTTACAAGTAAATAATTCTGCTGTTGACTTTCGTACTATCTCTATATATTGGTATATCAAGCCTTAATTACCTCTTCTCTGATGCAGTGAATCAAGCTTTTAGACAACAAAGGAATCGATTACTCGCAGAACGCTCTCATTGTTCCAACTAATATTAAGTTAGTTATATAAATTAAAGCATTCAGATCGGCCGATAAAATCAACGAAGATTTACCATCTCAATCAACCTTCCTTTCTACTATTTCCTTACAGCCATAGATTAAAGAGTGTATTGTTAAAGATTTAGATAAATTTATCATGGATCGAATTGGAAGCTGATGTTTTACCTTTTCGGCTAAGGCATGTAGCAAAATTAAATTATATGTGTTGAATGTTCTTCTGCCTAATTCAACGCTAAGAGTGACATCAATTCATTCATTCATTCATTAGCCTTTATTGCTGACACCCAGTACAATGTAATAACAATTATTTAAGTTACATAAAAAAAAACACTTAATTCTAATACATAAATAAAACTTAATCTAATACGTCACTTGACCCGTTTTAGGTAGTCAGCGTGTCCTGTGACACGTAGGCCTCTTCCAGCTGTTTCCATTCTTTTCTGATATTAGCTCTTCTTGTCCAAGTTGTGCCTCCTATTATCTTTATATCGTCCGCCCATCTCTTGCTCGGTCTTCCTCGTTTCCTTTTTCCATCACGTGGTTGCCATTCTGTAATTATTTTTGTCCATTTCAACCTGCTATCTCTCGTCATGTGCCCAGTCCAGCGCCATTACAACTGACTTATTTTCTTTATAATGTCTTCTACTTAATAATGTCTTTGGTCGTTGATCTGATCTCTTCAGCTCTTTTTCGATGTCTCAGTGTTACACCCACCGTCTAGAGCAGTGATTCCCAACCTTTTTTTTGCCATGTCACCTTAGTCTTTCTTAAATTCGTATGCCCCCCCAAATTTAACATAATTTTTAATATAAAAAAATTGAATTGTTCACTTGTGAAAGTAAACGGATAGGTTTTAGGAATTACTAGGAAATTGTTAACCAAACACAGTAAATTTTAAAAACATAATGAAAATCCGCAATTCAAATTCCAAACCAAATTTCCCTCCTGTGTTATTTATATGTGTGCAATTAACACTTGCTTGTACTGTGAAGGAAAACATCGCCAGGAAACTGGCATGCCTTAGGCGTGTGTCAGGTAGAGAAAGCTGGTCACCAACGCGTAAAATAAAAATTATCAAAGGAACGGACGCGCAATCCAAGACCCATATAGGGTTGTAGCGCCACTGGATTATTCAAGTGAAAAATTTATAAAATACATTTAACTGTTAAAAACTTACTATCGGATATAAAATCATATATTTATGAATTAAATGTTTTTTCATTTTAAATTTATCCAAAAACAATATCGTGTAAAAACTACT